AAAACACAACCAGCCATGCTCAAACAAGTCGGTCATCTTGACCCTTACCTGACCCCCCTACCAGCAAGGTGCAATCCCCTCAAGCACCAACTCTGCCCACCCTCTCCCACAGCCCTTTCCTATCTAGAGTCTCAGCCCCGGCCCTGCTCAAGCCTTTCAAGTCTCGCTGGAATTACTGCAACAGATTCCTCACTTTTCTTGCAATATCCAGTTTCCTCCTCCTTTTCCCCATCAACCCCCACCCCGCCACCCCACCTCTACAGCCTCCAGAAATACAACCAGCACATTGGTACCAGGGTGATCTTCATTAAATACAAACCTGGCCAGGACACATTTCATTTTAACACTCTTTGACAGCCCTCTACTACCTATAATAAAATGGTTCGTGGCTTTCGCTCTGGCTATCTACCTATCTGGCTCCTCTTTCCAAGACATGGCTCAGTCTCTCCGCCTCACTGCAGCTCTCCTCCAGCAGTTTCACACTCTGTAGTTCCTGGTATGCTAATCTCTTCCTAAGCATTGGCCTGGCCATTGTTACTTCTACACATAATGCCTTCCCTCCTTGGTCCCCTTCCATTAATGTCAGCTAAGTAAGCTCAGTTTCCTTCCTGTGAAACAGAAGTAGTTATAATTATTACCAAAACTGCAGTGTGAGCACTAAGTAATGCATACAAAGGACTTGGCAGTGCAACTATTACATCAACACGTATTTCTCATTTTACTTCCCACGCCTAACAATGCTTGTACATAGTGGGAATGCAATGGCTTCAGACATCCAGGAAAGCACGCACAAATAGGTAAAGAGAACTGTAGGAACGAGTCTCCAAAGCAATGGAGCCAACTGGAATATACTTCCCTTCCAATGAGTCAATGGTTTATGTGTTTGCATATTATACACACTATTAAACTAAAAGGATGGATCTAAAAAAACACTTAAAATGGGCTGGCTTGGTGATACAGTGATAACGTGCAGTTCGGGAGAAACCAGATCCCACATGGAACCCACATGGCTTGAATCCCTGGTCTGGTATGCTTGGAACACACATGAGAGTCCAGGATTCAATGGCCTGGAGGGCTGGCGGGCTGGAGGAAGAGGATTGCTGTGTGACCAACCCTGGAGAGGGTGCTTCTCTCTCCCTCTCGCACCCGACCATGCGTGTGTAACATGCTCCAGCTACCATGAATAAAGAAAAAAAGTAAAAAGAAAAGAACAAAACCACTTAGAGCAAACATATTAGAAGTCCTAGCTGGCTTCCCCACACACAAAAAAAAGAGAGAGAAGCAAAGAAAACTGATGCATTTATAAAATTTTAAAGTTGTATAAAGGATAAATGAATAAAACATTTCATAAATGGAACTATGACATGAAAACATTGTTCTATTTCTACCATTTTGAACTTCTAAGTCATTAAAAGAAAACCACTGACTGCCCACCTGTAACTAATTCGATCACTTGTGTAGGTCTCCCAGGGGCACTGAACACAAGCTCAGAGAATTAGGGTTTGCTTGGAACCAGCAGATGGAGAAACGGCTACGTTGCTGGACTCCCATGTACTCGACCACAGTTCAAGTCCCAGACTTGGTGGCTTAAACTCATACCAGGCGCATGTGCAAGCATTCCCAAGATCCCAAGAGGAGAATGGAGGAGAAGGGACTGTGGCGTGGTACCCCCCCTCCCCCGGAGGGGTGATTTCTCGCTTTCTGTCTCTCTGTCTTTCGGGCAAGTGCACCTGCCCTATAGCAAAAACCTCTAGGGGGGAGGTGGATAAAGAATCAGGGTTTGCTGAGTGCCAGTGAATGGCTCAGTGACTTGCAAAGCAGCCAAGCAATTTTGGAACTACTTCTTTCTCAGCATCCAAAATGAAAACAAGAGTCCAAGGGACCAGGAACTGAGAGGGAGAGACCTGGAGCAGCTCAGATCCAAGAGAGAATCATTAGCTACAGAGGTGCGACCTTAAAGTGAATGGCAGGAAAAGATGCAATCAAATCAACATCCAGTCAGCTCCCCTGGAAAGCACCTTAGCTCGGCCTGACTCATCTCCATCGATCCTGCTTGCAGGGCCTTCATAAGTCATGAGATCGTCAGGGAAGTCATGACATGTTTTTCTGGGTTTTTTCCTATAAAAAATACGTCATGACTTTTCCAACAACCCAGTATTACAACACTAATATTTCAAACAAATCCAATAATCTCTAATCAAACCTGTACAGTTCCTGTATCACAGGGATCACATGTGCTATGCCAGTGAGGCTTCTAGCTAACAACTGTAAATTATGTGGCCTAGTTCTGCCTCCGTACAATAACTCTTTGTAAACGACATCATGAATAAAACTAAGTTTAGACTGCCTGAAAATTCATTTTTAAAGTTCAATTATCTAAAACCTTAAAGATATAAAAGCTTTCAAGTAAATTAAAATGTATTAAATGGATTATCTGTCTATGACATATAGTCATCTCTTGATTTTCCCAACCAAAGCACTTTCATGTACTTTCAATGACTGAAATAAGTCAGAGTATGAAATAATTCGTTTGGGCTAAATAGTAGGACAAAAAAATCTGTATGAGCAGGTTAAGCAATAAAAGAGAAATAGCCAAATAGAACTCAATTTAAAAAGTCCAACCTAAATTATGGTTAAGTTTGATAGAGAAAATGACCCTAAGACCTAATGAAATGTTCAAATTTATATCATCAGAAGGAGACTATATAAAGAGTAGGAAAAGAATCAAAAACATTTTTAGAGATTTTTATAGAAGACTTACTTTATTTATTATTATCTTACTATTTTTAATTTGACCAGAAAGAGAAAAAAGGACAGTGAGAAAGCAAGCTGCTAGATTCGGGGACTGAACCGTTGTCAGTCATGTGGGAGTCCAACACATTAACCACTGTACCACTTGCTGGCCCCAAGAGAGTTTTTTGCTATAGGGCACTTGCACTTGCCAGAGAGACAGAGACAGAAAGTAAGAAATCACCTCCTGGAGGGATGGCCATGCCATAATCCCTTCTCCTCCATTCTCCTCCCGGGATCTTGGGCGTGCACACACATGCCCCCAGCATGAGTTTCAAGCCACCAGGTCCAGGACTCAAACCATGGTCAGTCATGTGGGAGTCCAGTGACATAACTGCTATGCCATCTGCTGGTCTCTGTTATATAAAACATTTTATGCCGCATGCTGACAAGATAAGGAAATACTTAACTGGAAAAAAATTGTATCATTATGAATGCACATTTCAAATGTAAATAAATAGTGATACAAATACACACAAGAGTGTAAAAATTTCCTAATAATCACTTTCCCTCTCTGTCTCTCTCTAGTCAAATCAAAAAGGGAATAATGATAAATACAAGTAAATAAATAATTTTTAAATGTCATTAACCTAAAATAAAATCAACCAATATTTTCTTACTAAATTTGTACCAAGAGGCCATGCCCATGAGCTGTATTTACAATAACTGGTTTCCGGATTTTTGCAAACTGTTATGGCTGGGTGGTCCCAACATAACAAAAAAGAAAAAAACCATTGATATGGATGGAAGATACAGTCCATAAATATGAAGAATTACTGTGGTAGGAAACGATGTTTTAATTTTTCAGCAAGAGACATTAATATTTAAAGAATACATTTGAAATTGCTGAGACATGCATTTCTAAGACTCAGGCATCTGATCCATTACTCTCCAGAAGTCCAGGGTGGAGGTCTCTGGTTCCCATACCAACAGTCAACAAAAAGGTGCTACCATAGAAACCGTTTGAAACCTAACACTGAAGCTACTCCAGCAGACCCACAATTACAGTGAGTTCCAGGCATTCTGGACCCCATTAAATGTAAATATAAGAATCACAAAACTCTAAAGATTAAATGTGTTAACAAAATGCCTTACTTTCATAGTTTCCAAGGATAACTAATAACAAAACTAGAGCAACACTTTCCTTTTCTTAAAATTATTTATAACTTTTACGGTGACTCAAAACCGTGGATTTAACAGAAAACAGTCCTGATATTATATTGTGATGGGAATTATAATGCAATCTACCACCCTCCCAGGTTTTGTATATGTAAGGACCTTTACAGTTATCATTCTTTGAGATTATTGTCCACAGTTTAAACAATGTGTTTATTTAAGCTCTCTTGGATAAAGCATTTACATAATGAGAGGACCATATCTACTGTGGTGTGGTGTGCTCATAAAACACAATACTCTCAAAGGCTGACCTACATGGGAAGGTTCTGGGTTTAGGTCCAGAGACCTCTCTGCGTACCCTGAGCAAGTGTGTGCCCAAGATCCTGGGCTGGCTGAAGTTGGGGATGGATCACAATGTCAACACACTTTTTGGGGAGTACTGTCTCTGTCCCTCTCCCTTATCAAAGAAAGAAAGAAAGAAACTTCTTTAGAAAGTCTACATAATGAAAAGGCATTGATTGAAAAACTTCAGACACTCCTGGGAAACTTACAAAAGATACTGGAGAGACTGCCAAATGATCAAAGATAAGGCAATTATCTGTTGATGCTTGCTAAATAAATCTTGTACATCATCACATCAGCCTATCAAGACAGGAAAAATATTTCTCGGGACAAAAAAAGTTAATTCCACATGAAAGCATCCTTTCTCTGGGGAAGAACCTAAACCAAACTTTCCACTTGGAGTAACATGAGAATTGGTTTATTTTAACATTGAAGTGCAACGAGGAAGTAAGAATGGGAACACTGTATACATTTAATAAAGTTACCAACCCATCTTAATCCTCCCATTTCCTGCTGGATGGAACTATGAAACCTTAACTCAGTTTTGATAAGTCACTCTGATAAAAAGTGAACGACAAATAACAGAGCGTTGTTTGAACAGTGAAAACATTTGTTTAAAAAAAATGATCTGGACTCTGACAAGCCCATCTGACTGACGAGATCTGTGGAATTAGTTCTGGGGTGAAGTTTTCTAGCACCGATAGCTTATTCATGAGACTGTGTAACACAGTCAATTTTGAAAGACTCCTGTAGAAAGTTATTTGCTCTCTCCTACATCTTTAATAAATATTAACAGCAAGGAAAGCCACTATTAGATAACCCATATATGAATCAGATTCGATTCAGAACTCGTTCCACGAGTTCATTGCTTAAGAAAAACTGCTCTTCTGTTTACTCTTTGGGATGAAAAAGAAAAAGAAAATCAGTGCCATCGACCCACAGTTCCTTTTAATCAAATCGGGCTGAGCAACTGGAAAAAGCTCTAGGGGCGCTCTTCTGGAAAAAGCCACAGTCCAACCACAGGATTAAAATACAGGAAACTTGGTGAAAAAAAAAAAAAAAGGAAGCCGAGAAAGGAAAAAAAAAAAAAAACTGCGTTCGCCTCACAAGACCAGGATGAGCTGTTCTTGCTCTGGTTCTAATTTTAGCGACTCTTTGGATTGGGGCAGGGCCCGCTTTTACACACACTCGCTCAAGAAAAGGGTGCGCGCAAAACTCCGGCCACGTCACCGGCGGCGGCGCGCGATCCGAGCCCCCCGCTCTGCCAGGTTCGCGGCCTCGCGGCGGGAAGCAGCAAGGACAGCGGGAGCTGCGGGCCAGGAAAGGGGCCCGAAGGCAGCTTCTGTTTACTCCCAAACTTTTGCTGGCTTTCAAACCGAGTGCGGAGGTCCCCAGACGCTGGGTAAAGCGAGCGCGGCTGCGGGCGCCGGCCTTACCTCTGCCATCGCGACCTGTCGGGTCAGTGCGACGCGGTGCAGGACTGCAAGGGAAGGGAGGGCGTGTTAGGAGGGCCGGTACCGGGCTGCAGACCCGGCGTCCGCAGTGTTCTCCCTCCCCGGCCGCGCGTCGCGGAGAAGCCGCGCGGCTCCCAGCCCCGGGCACCCGCCCACCTGGCCGGCCCGCGCGTCCGCACTCCGGGGACTCTTGGCCGACCCGCGCGCTCCGTGCCCCGCTCTGTGCATGCGTACCAGCAGATAGCATAATGGCTATGTTGCTGGACTCCCATGTAGTCAACTCTGGTTTGAGTCCTGGATCCAGTGGCTTAAACTACCACTGGGCACGTGTGTGTGCATGCCCAAGATTCCAAGAAGAGAAGGGAAGAGAAGGGATTGTGACATGGCCATTCCCCAGAGGGTGATTTCTCACTTTCTATCTCTCTGGTGAGCGCACATGCTCTATAGCAAAACAAAAAAAAAAAAAAAAT